GAGCCCAGTTCCAAAGAGTTTTAAAGCACACAATTTTGAATTTAACCAGCAATGTAATCTGATTGTCCTTCAAAGTACCTTAAATTTGTGGTACTTAAATTCTTGGAGAATTGCCTTTAGGAAATAGGGGCCATTGATTTTTAGTAGTGTAAAATCGATTTTGTATTAGGCTCTGCAAACAGAGAGCTGCATGGACTGTTGTTGCCCTTGGGCCCTCCTAGGACCACCAGTACTGAAGGTTCTGGAAATAGTGTGTTGTGATTGAGAGCTCAAACACTGGAGCCAGAGCACCTGAGGGGTTACATTCTAGCTCTAAAACTTTCTAGTCATGTCAATTTAGGCAAATTGCCTTTCCTTTGTGCCTTTGTTTTTTTGTCCTTATCAGAGTAGTAAGAGTACTTCCTGATAAGGTGGCTTGCAGATTTAGAGGTGTTCATTTTAAGGCACTTGTAACAGAGTCTGGCACAAAATCAGCAATCAATATATGTTAGGTATTATGAAACTTCCAGGTTTCCTAAGCTTAGCCTGTTTACTAGATTAATAAAAACTATTCTCTATTCAGGTTCTAATATCAGAAATATTGGTGTTGCTTCTGAGCATATCTTACTTTATTGTAAGGAGACCAAGAAACATGTAAATAATCTTTTCCTTTGCTACAAGAATAAAAATTTTGTTTCTCATTTCTACCAAGTGTACAGGACTCCCCCCAGCACATGCTTTTTGATTCTCCCCCTTTCCCACTCAGAGACAGCTTTCAGCTCCTGTCCTCTAGCCTCAGATTGCCTGAGTGTGACTCCTGGCTACACTGCATTGTTGGTGCAAACTGGAGCACATTGCTTGTCTCCTGTCTTTGTAAGATGGGGATCACAACAGTAGCTGCCTTTCCTAGTGTTTCCATGTTAGGACTTAGTGAATGAAGCCATCTGAAGTATCTGAAGCTGTGAATGACATAGTCAGTAAACACTCCATAAAAGTTAGCCACCATTATTCTGATGTTCTTTTTTCCTAAAACTCTGGTTTTTTATTTGCTTGATTATTCTTGATCTTTAAAAAAGTACTTTATCAGTTGGAGGTGTGTGTATTACAGAACAGAAATGGATTCTGGCTAACTTAAAGCCAAAGAAACTGTCCTGGATAGTTAGTAGTGGATCCCCACATGAAAGGAGCAGCAGAAGGAAGTGTCAGAGACGGCAGCTAAAGGACCATAGCAATACCCGCTGCAGTGGCAAGAATTAACCTAATGGTTAATCTTTTACAATGTCCTGTGTGTACTGCAGCTGGAATTAATTAGCTCCAACCAGTTTTGTGTCCACTCAAGATGCAGTGGCCTGCAGGACAAGGGGTCTGACCTAGTGGGGACCCTGAGCCCAGCCCTTGCTAAAGGCAGGATGGACATTTTAAGTGGTGGTCTCATTGGTAAGGGTACAGTCAATCCCCAAAAGGCAGTTGGGATTTATTACTTTCAAAAAGACAAGGTGGAAACTAGGTGGCCCCAAACCAACAGCCCTAGTGCAACACATTTTCTTTGGTATCTCAGTAATTTTTAAATCACAAATAAATAAAGGCATTAAAAGAAACAAGGTCACCCGCACTTAATTATAAAAATAAATATTGGTATAAAATTCAGAGAATTGGGCTGTAGGCCCAGCCCTTTCTCACTGAGGTTATCAGAACTTTTTGTCCTGGTTTCCTTATTCCTCAGGTGATATTAATTTCTTTTAAATCCACCTTTAAGTGTAGCATTGAATGGCCCCTGAGGATTGCCCTAGCAGTAAAACCTTGAGGTGCCCTGTGTGTCATTTTTAATGTGGGAGCCTCTCTTGCTTTTAAATATATGCACAGACACAGCCCATACAGTCCACTTTTCAAACTCAAGTGATCTATGGCAGTATATGCAAACCAAAGTTTAAACCATTAAGTTTGACTCAAATACCTCAGTTAGTAACCGTTGTTATTTTTTAGCTTGTATTAGGTCAGGAAAGATAAAATTTATATTTGAGAAGCTAAAATTTTCATAGATATTGATGTTTATAAAGAAGCAGTGATGTGATCATTGTATGAAAAGAAAATAATGGTGGTTTAAATGGAATTAATTATAAATTACTTCATTTCCAGTAATTTTTTTCCTTATGATTAAAGGCTATGAATATTTATTATCAGAAATAATTTTATATTTGTTCTAAGGTAGTGTATGTATTTTTCAATACTTTAGGTGTAAACTTCTGAAGTAATAAAGTACGTATAGACTACTAGTAACATCTTATTGCTTCCTATTAGCCTCTTCATGAGCTAGGCTAGATGAGCAAAACTTTATAATAAGTATTTTTCAACACTGAAGAATCAATTCAGATGTCTCCGGAAATATAGCTGTTTTGTTTCAGTGTGTTTGTTTTTAAATAATATTTATCTTTAAAAGTGTTAATCTGAATCAGGTTACTAATTAAAAACAATAGTTAGATGCTTCTTTATTACTATGATTACATATAAATGTACTAGGTAGTATGACTCTATAAATATAGAGTAAATAGTTTAATTGGCAATCACTTCAAAATATGTGAGGTTAATTGCATGTCTCTTACTTGGAAACTTTCTAAGCCATAATGCCAACAAGATTGCTTATTTACACTGTCTCTTAACAGGAGACAAAATTTACTGTCCTCAATTCTGACTAGGCAAATGAAGAGGAGGGGCTCTTAATAGAATATTAATTCAAGGTTTTAAACTCAAATATAGACAGGATTCCTAAGAAAACCTTTAATATTTCTAATAAAATCTTGAGGAATTATGATACTATGTACAAAATTACTTTATCACTCAAAAATCATACTTACGTATTTAGGAGATTTAGAGATTTATGGAGAATAAGTAGGTCATCAGTCTGACTACTAACCAAACATGTCTCAACCAGGATGCCTTCTTAAACAGCAACCTGTAGTCCACACAAACATTGAGTATAGGAATGGTTAAGTTTTTCTCTATATTTTTATGAAGAAATCAGAATATTTTCCTGAAGGAAAAAGGGTGATGAGGATGATGATGATGATGACAATAACAATGACCATCAGTACTTACTGAGTGCCAGGCACTGTTCTCAGTTCTTTATGCACGAACTCATTGCAGCCTCTTATATACTTTGCGATAGGAACTCTTGGCATCCACATTTCATAGAGGGGGAAACAAGCACACAGAGTTTAAGTGATTTGTTTAAGGTTCACAGCTAATTAGACTACAGAATAGGATTTGGAACAGGGAGCCCCGTTCCACAGTCCCTGCTCTGAACCACTAAGCTAAATGGAAGTAAGATAAAATTTGTATAACTTAATCTCACGGTCAGCTGTTTTTAATGCTCCATTTGAGACTAATATTCAAAATTTCATTAATACTATTACTTTCTGGCTGCTTACTCACCAGATATACTGGGTTGACTAAAATTTCCCATGTATCAGGTGAAGGAGATTGATGTATTTTTAAACCCACAAGAAAATATTATTTGCTGTTATGCATTTGGCTGAATTAATAAATCTATAATTTCCTTGATAACTGAGATCATAGTTCTTGCTCATACTAGTGTTCCACAGTAGCTAATACTATCTCATGTCTATAATATTAATAAATACTAAATCTGTATTGTAACTTTACATTTTTTGAATTTTCACCAGGGAAATCTGGCTTTCAAATAAGACCTGTTAAAAGATGCACATATTTCAAGGAAAGCTGGTCTGATTCTGCAGATTATAAAATTCAAAATCAAATTGAGATTATAAGGACCTAACTCAAAATCAGGATTGTAGAATTAACTTTGTATAATTGTCTTGGGTCACTATAGCATTTACCATAGTTAGTTGCTATAATTATACACAAACTACTGCCCTATAACATTAATATAAATCTTAATTAGGGAGAGGAAAATGGACTTAGAATAGGATGAAGTTTACTAGTTCTGTAACTTTTACCAAATTACTTAACACTCTGATCTTTATTTCCTTAACTCTAAAATGGAAGTAATATTTCTACTTTTAGATTATAACAGCTCCATGAGTTTCCACTTATAATACTTACACTTCAGTTAGTTGTTCCGTTTATTCTTAAAAAGTGAGTTTCCTCCAATCTGCTATCTCTGTTCTCAAATATAAAATTTTTGCATTTTGCCATCTTTCTTTTCAATGTTTAGACTTATAGATACATAGACTTTTTATAAATTGCTCATTTAGTTATATTAAACCATATTAATTTATCTTTTATAACACTTCCTTGGACAAATTTCTATTGAAAATGAATTTATATGAATATTTTATTGTGTTGATTACTTGAATTAAGTGAATGTAAGTTGCATCTTCTATTCATAATATGACCTGTATTTTGAAATTTTTAAAATTGTGATTACCTGGAATGATGCTCTTTCAGAGATAAGGCATTTTTAACCTCAAAGAGAATTGAATTTATTGTATGTGCCTTAAAATGCCTGAGACATTCACAGATGCATGGTAATCAAATAAGAGAAAATAAATATATATTCCACATTTATATAAGTACTACATATTCTTATATTTGTAACATTTCAAATTAAAGCTACCTTAAAATGACATTTAGATAAATTTTTGTCTTTAGAAACTTCTTATTGTTTCAAGATCTGGATCTGCATGAAGTTTCAGTGTTTGTATGTTTTATTTTCTTTTTAACCAGGTACTTCTGAGTCACACCCCTTGGTTGCTGTAGTGATATCTTAGATACTGCAGTGTATTGCTCTCTCCCTCAGCTACAGTTAAGTTGTGGCTTTAGGTTTCTCATTATTTTCACTCCTTTTAACCATATCAGTTGTGCCATTCCTAAAACTGAGCAACATGTGAGAGATGTTACAGATTTTAAGTTGGAGTAAAACTAAGTGAAGAATACTACTATATGTTTTCAAAACTTACATTTAATTCATATGTTCTGGTGTAACCATGCAACCACCTGTGGTAAATATGACTGACTGCTCTTTTTTCTTATGCTTTGTTAAGCAAAGTAAAGCAACAGTTCGGCTGAAAGAAGATATGAAAAAGATAGTGGCAGTGCCACTAACTGAGCAGAGGAATTCTACCTATACAAGGTTGTTCGGCGTCAGTCTCCAGGACCTTCAACAGCAGGGACTCACTGAGAATGGCATTCCAGCTGTAGTGGGGAACATAGTGGAGTACTTGACAAAGAATGGTAAGTCAAGTCATAACTGCTGTTTTTACAGCTTTCATGTACAATAAGAATGCTTCTTTAAGTGAATTACTTCATAACACATAATTTTCTAAAATTGAATATTTTCTAAAACATTGTAATTAGAATATCAAGTTATTGGGTAATATACTTTTCCCTTTAAAAAGGACATTAAGACCTGGCTGGGTAGCTCAGTTGGTTAGCTCATTCTTCCGATACACCGAGGTCACGGGTTCTATCTCCAGTCAGAGCACGCACAAGAATCGACTAATGAATGCATAAGTAAGTAGAACAACAAATTGGTCTCTCTCTCTTTTCCTTTCTCTATAAAATCAATAAAAAATGTTAAAGGATATTAAGAGCATTATTATTACTTAGCATTATTTTGACAATACCAGTTAGTTTACCATGGAACAATCACTTTAGTTATTAAGGTTTCTAGCTTAGAATGATTTCTGGTTTTAAGTGCTGAAATACTGTTCTAATATTAATAGTGTGTTTTCTTGATTCATTACATTTCAGTTGATGGTTAATAGTTTTTAAAGTATTGGAGAACACTTTTAGGGTTCTCTGACAGCTGAGGCCAATCATGAATTTATTAGATGCCTTGATTGTCTTCATAAGCTCTGTGGACATACCAGAAAACTTATGATGTATAGGCTACAATGGGGGTATCATTTACTTTCAAAGTGATAAAATTAAGCATGTAAAGCATGTAAGCATTAAAGAGTAACAGTACATTGCATGATAAAAAGATATATAGCTTCATTATTAAGAGCTATGTTGTATTATAGGCTTTTTTTTACAATTTTATTTAAAACCTGGATAATTGGAAAAAAATATTGCATGTCCCCTATGTTCATGCTTTCATAGTATGACAGTATGATAGGAGAATGGCAAACTATATGATAAATATCAATCCACTTTAAAAGATTTGGAAAGGAAATATTCTGACAAAACTTAGAATTTTCATCATTCTATACTGAAACAGCCTTTCTATACTAAAACAAGGTTAATTGCAGAACAGAATTTAAAATTTATGGAGAGTTTTGCCCTGGCCAGGTGGCTTACTTGGTTGGAACATTATCCCATAAACCAAAAGGTTGCGGGTTCAGTCCCCAGTCAGGATGCCAGGATGTGTATGGGAGGCAACCAATGGATGTTTCTCTCTCACATCGATGTTCTTCCCCTCTCTCTTTCCCCCCTCTCTCCCCCTCTCCTCCCTCTCTGCCCCTCTCTCCGCTCTCCCTCCCCTTCTTGCTCCCCCTATTTCCCCCTCTCCCTTCCCATTCCTCCCTTCCTCTCTCCCTCTCTAAATCCCTGTTTTTTAAATAGGAGTTAAAACTTAATAGGAGTAAAAACTTATGTGGAGTTTTAAAGGTTAAACTTAAGACTTCAAAGAAATCCTGTGTTTTGTGCAGTTTCCTTCAGGCCCCATATCTTCCCACAATTACAAACTCATTCCTCCTGCCAAGAAGAACCCTTCATTGGAAGTACTTGAGAAGCTCAGAGCATTTGTTCTTCTGCGAGAACATGTATAGCTTGTCACAAGGACAGTTCAGACCTCAGAAGGTCAGGTGTTTTGTCTTAATTGAAAAACAGCTATTTGCTCTGGTAGTTGCTAGGTATGTAGATGACAGAATGACATTTCGTTCTGAAAACTAAAGAGCCAGTCTTGCATTTTTTGCCTCATAGTAGTTATTGTCTTATTTTTAGGGGAAGATAAGCTTCAGAAGGGCAGGATTCCTATAGAACAGCTCTGAATTTAAGTCCTTTAAAAAGTTAAATATGAAAGGTTTATACACAACATGGCAGAAAGATGGGACCTTAACCAAGAAGATCTTGAATGTTGTTAAAATCAGATGTTAAGTTACAGCTTTGATAGAATTCATTTACACACTCAATAGTGAGTAAAATTGTCCCACTGATTTAGATACAAATGGATCTCCAAATAATTCATTTAATCTGTTAAATAGGGTTCTGCATTATCTGTTTAGATGCTGAAGTGTGACCACCTAAAATATTTTGGTTCTGGTGTAATTGGTGTCCTGATTTTTTTCCCCGACGATTAAATAATACAGCCTTCTGAGGTAAGGCTTATGTAAAATCATACTACATTTTTAATCTTTAAAAACTGATCAAATAGTTAATATAGTTATTTGGTTCAAAATACAGGAAGATACACAGTGGAAACTATCCTCTCCAAACCCTGTCCCCTGATAATTCATGTCCCCTCCCAGAAACAATGCTCCCCTCCAAGAAACTATACTGATTTCTGATACGTTATGGCAAATATCTTTGATGAATGCATATATAAGCATATATATTTATGTTCTTTTTCCACTTTAACATAAATACAGCACATAATGCACATTGTTATGAAACTTTTTCAAATTTACCAGTATATTTTGGATATTCTTTCATATTGCACAAAGAGCTTTACTCATTGAATTCTTTTTCTCCCTACACACTTCTACTATGTGTCATTTCTGTAAGCAGTCACATACTGATGGGCACTGATTCTTGCCAGTCTTAATGCTGTCTACAAAGAATCAATGATTAACTTAAAAAAATTTTTTTGCATACAGAGTCGTTTCTTTATACTTGCATTTAATTTTTTTAAATTTAACAATATGCTTTATTTTTTTTAATGAGTCATCTCAAGTACTGTATTTGTAGAAGGCTTATAGTGGATTGCTGACTCAAAGGATATGTGCTCTGTAAAAGTTGAACTGGTTTATATTCACACCATCAGTGTATGACAATTTTGGTGAAAATTGAATTAAAGATTGGTTTTATTCTACTTCTTAGTATATTTTTAGTTATGCTCTAATAGGGTACATTCAGGTAATTCAAACAAAATGTTTTAGTGGGAAAAATCAGTCATTGTTAAATCGGAATGTGAAATAGAATCGCTAGTGTGATCTTTTCAGAATACCCTTGCATGGGTGGTACTTTAGATCTTCTACCTCAGAATCTTTGACTGGGCAAGCTGGGAGAGGTTATCTACCCAATATTTTGGAAGGCTATATAGTTAATTACTATATGGACAATCAGAAGCCCCTTATTGTATTTGCAACTATCATGTTAGTAAACCAAAGAGCCCCTGTAAGTTTGAAGGGCGGTACAAGTTTGAGGGCAAGATACTTCAGTTAGTTTTATGTAATTATTTTGTACTTATTTTCAAGTCAGCAAATATTTATCGTGCACCTATGAGTAGGCACTCTACCCGGTATGGGATATAAAGATGATTAGTCATTATAATTTAACCATAGGCAGACATTGTGCTCGTACTTTGTTAGTTACAAACATTTAAGAATTTGACATGTGGAGAACTCTTACTATAAAGGAATTTTAGGACAGAGAGGGTTCATTAAGGCCTATATCAAATAGACTTTGGACTTTTCCTTTAAATAAAAAGTATGTGATTCTTTTTTCTTAGATTCAGAGGAAAATCTTTAAGTGTTGAGGCATGTCATATGCAGACTATTTTAAAATAACTAAGCTTGCAGACAGTGTTACTGGATTCCTCTTGAACATGAAGATAGTGTGATACGCTGATTCAAATAGTGTAGGATTCTCGACTCACCACCAGATGTCAGAATATGCTTACATATTGTTATACTACTTTCAAAGCCAAAATGTTCCAATCAGGCCAATTCTGATTTCTGGAATATTTAGTTTCTAGTGATGTATTCACACCATTTTAAAATAAATATTTCAGTTGTACAAAAAAGTAGAATGGTGTAGATGTTAATTGGCTTATATAATTTCATTTCTAAACCACTACATACATTTATCCTCATCTGAGGATGGATGATTTTACAGAGAGGGGAAGGGAGGAAGGGAGGGAGGGAGAGGGAGGGAAACAAACATTGATGTGAGAGAGAAACGTCAATCGGTTGCTTCTCATATGCTCCCTGAGCCAGACTGGAGACCATACCCACAACCAGTCATGGCACATGCCTAGGAATTGAAATTGCAACCTTTCGATTTATAGAATGACACTCCATCCAAGTGAGCCACACTGGCCAGGGCTCTAAACCATTATTAAGTTGGTGTTTCATGATGATTAGCCCCTATCTCCTGAAATCACATTGAACAGAGGTTCAGAAATGCATAGGAATGCCACTGAGCCTTCTAGATGTCTCCTTCTTCTGAACATTTCTGCTGTTATCATCATTTCCTAAAAATTGAGGAAAATTTAGAGATTATGTAGTCTAGTAAGCCTCATATGGATATTGAATATATTATACGTGCATCAGGGGCTTTTAAAACTGGACAGATTTTTTCCCCAGAGTGTAAATATAGCCATGGCCAGGGTTAAACTTCCCCTGGTTGAAATTCACTACTTACCATAAGAGTTGTGTGAGGGAGAGATGTTTCTGTGGGAAGAGTTGCGCCAGTAAATAGAACAGAGGCAGAAAAAAAAATGGTCGAGAAGCCTTAACTCTGATTACTTCCACTTATAATATATCTCTCCACTAGTAAGGTCCAGTGGAATTAGAACCTAGAAAACCAAAGCCAGTTCTTAGACCTGGGTGGTTGTTTTGGAATAACTGGATGTATGTTTATTTAAGGTCAAATACCTTGTTTGAAGAGAAAACCTAAGGTCAGAACTAGAAAAACTAAGGTCAGAACTGTAAAATCTGATCCAGGGAGCATTAACTGGATCAAAAACAGGCTCAGGAGCTGAGTAGATACAGGACTATGATGCAGAATTCTAAATTTTCAAGATTTGGGCCTTGACCGGGAATGGGATCCTCTTTTATTGGGTGCTGTCTGCTTGATGCCAGTATACATTTCTGATGTTACAGATGAAGTTTTGTGGAATGGAGAAAACAGACCTTGAAAGCTTTAAAAAATGACTAAGCTAAAGTCTTCCAGTAGTAACTCTGCAGTATTAAAGGAAATGGCATATTGTATTAGTTATCTGTTACTGCAGAACAGATTATCCCTAAACATAGCAGATTAAAACAACAGTGTCTATTCTCACAGTTTCTGGAATCAGGGTCAGGAATCTCAGCACAGGTTAAGTGGTGCTGTTTGTCTTAGGGTCTCGTATAAGGCCACTGACATGGTGTTGGTTGAAGCTGCAGTCGTATCAGGCCCTGGCTGGGGAAATCTTCACTTCCAAGCTCATTCACATGGCTGTTGTCAGGATTCAGTTCCTTGTGGACTGTGACCTGAGGTTTTCAGTTACTCACTGACTATTGTCCAGAAGTCACCCTCAGTTCCTTGCCACATGGACCTTTCCATAAGGTCCATGGAAAGGTAGCTAACAAAGTAAATAGCAGCTGGATCATCGCAGTGAGCAAGTAAGAAGAGCCAGAGAGAACACAAGCGAGCAAGATAGACACCACGTCTTTTACAACCTAATTTTAGAAATGAGATTAAAACCTAATCATATCGCTTTGCTACATTCTGTTGGTTAAAGCAAGTTTCTGGGTCCAGCCCACACAGGGCATCACACATAGACGTGGATCCCAAGGAGGGTTATTGGGACCCTTTGAGAAGCTGCCTGTCACATATAGCAACTGGTATATCCTCTGATTACATGGTGCCTTGGCCATACTGGTTGTTAAATATTTTTAATATCATCTCTGGTTTCACAATTTTTTTTGTCAAAATGGAGCTAAAAGTCATGTCAACTTTTGATATTCATGTTCTTCACAGCCAAATAATATATGTGTATATAAAAGAATATAAACATCTCACCAGACTACAAACTCCCAGAGAATAATGGTAGTGTTCACATTTTTTTTTCTTTCTCACAGTTGATTTCTGTAGTACCTAACATAGTGCCAGGTACTCATTAAGTATTTGTTGAATTAAAGGGTTCATAAAATGCTTTATCAAAGAAATTAACATGCTTTTTATTTAGAAAGAGCAATATAATTAGCAGATAGGAGAAAGAAGCAAAGGCTGATGATATAAACAAACATCTTCTATCCAAATAATTCCAGTAGGCCCTGGCCAGGTAGCTCAGTTGCTTAGAGTGTTGCCCCATATGCCAAGGTTGTTGGTTTGATCCCCAGTCAGGGCACACACAAGAATCAAACAATGAATGCATAAATAACTGCAACAACAAATTGATGTTTCTCTCTCTCTCCCCACCTTCCCCTCTCTCTCCTTTTCTATCTCCCTTTCCCTCCTTCCTTGTTCTCTCTCTCTCTAAAATCAATAAATAAAATTTTTAAAAAGTTATACCTAAATAATTCTAATAGGCTTCAGTGCTTGTGTCATTGCTAATTTTCACCATTAGGTTCTCGCAAAGAAGAATGACAAGTTGAGTCCTTGGGTTACTCTCTTAGAAAGATTGTTTCTCACATCTCTGACATTCCCTCATGCTGTGGCTCACTTGCTGGCATGGTGTCCTATCTCCTCAAACCCAGCACAGTGAATGAGCTGAAAAATCATTATCTTCTTTCCTAAACTAGATACCATCCCTTACTGCCCATTTCACCTTATCCTTTAAAATGCTTTTCCCCTGGATTTCTTGTTTTCAAACCTTAAAGTTACCTTTCAACCCTTCCTCTTCCCTACTTCCCTTTTGTACTAAGTACCCAAATCACCCTTATTTTCCCCTTTTCACTCCCCTCCCACCATAACTTCTGTCTTAGGGCCTTACTAGAATGTAGTCTCTGGAAGGCAAGCTCTCTGCCTTCTGCATTCTCTACTTCTTAGGAGGTAGGTCTTTCTTAAACCTTGATTATATTGTGTTCTCCTCCAGTCCCTGCCCTCACCCCCATTGGTGAAGTACTCCAATAATAAAGTCTGCAGTCCTTAACTTGGCATTCATGGCCCTATCGCACTTCTTCCACTTAATTACTCCACAACTCTTAGACCTAACAGTCCATACTTTCATTTGCTTACCTTTATGCTGTACTGTCTCTGCTTCTTATTTCATATATATGATCTTCTTTGTCAAGGATAGATCAAGGTTTTTTGGGTCCTGTTGCTTAATACTTTTGGAGCCCTCTTAAGAAAAAGAATACAAAATTAAAAGTACTAAATTAGGGTCAGAACATTGGGTTAGGCCCAAACAAATGAGGCGCCCTGAAGCTTAAACTGCATTAGCTTCGCATACATCAGCCTCAGCCCTTTCATCTCGCCTATGTTTTAGCCAAAAATTATACAAAGGAGCCAAATGTTCATCTTTGAAGCCTTCTCTTGACCCCAGCCAGCAAGACTAATCCTCCATCAGTCAGCTAAAGGCAAGCATCTTGTCTTACACTAGTTTATAGTCTCATAGAGTCTTACACTTTGAATTTAGCAATTGCTAAAGAAATATTACTTCTTAATTAAATTACAAAGGTATCACATACAATTAAGGAGTTTTTACATGTATATTCTATTTTTTAAATAGTTCTCAAAATGCTAAGACAAAGAAATTTTATTCATATAGTACATAACAGAAACTTAACCCTGGGTTCCAGTAGCACTCAGGGCAAGTTTCTGTTAGGCACTGTATGAGTGGTATATGATCTCTGATTATATATGTGCTAACCTTATTTTTAGAATCTTATTTTTAGATGTCAGCTTTTATAATAACTGCATATGTTTTTTGTTGGTATGTAATAGACATGAAAATGTATTATTTTAAGAAAACGTTTTTACAAAATGTGAAACTATTCCAATGCTTGGTTATGGTAGTTTTCAGAGGATCCTGTCCTGAGATTTATTCATTTTTGTTGTTACTGTTCTTTAGAGCTTGAATTGTGAGAGACTTCTGCTTATTTTCTGTGTGTTTCCTTTATTGTTCCAGGACTCACCCAGGAGGGCCTCTTCAGGGTGAATGGCAACAGGAAGGTGGTAGAACAACTTCGACTGAAGTTCGAGAGCGGTGTGCCCGTGGAGCTCGGGAAAGATGGCGACGTCTGCTCCGCAGCCAGTCTGCTGAAGCTCTTCTTGAGGGAGCTGCCTGAGAGCTTGACCACCTCAGCCTTATACCCTCGGTTCCTCCAGCTCTTCCAGGGTCAGTGCAGCAAACCCTCTTAATGAATTCAGCAATTTTACATTTCAGTTAAAGTTGAACTTTTAAAAAAAAATTAAATATATTTTATTGATTATGCTATTACAGTTGTCCCATTTTTCCCCCTTTATTCCCCTCCAACCTACACACTCCTTCTTACCCCCATTCTCCCCCTTTAGTTCATGTCCATGGGCCGTACACATAAGTTCTTTGGCTTCTACATTTCCTATACTGTTCTTAACCTCCCCCCATCTATTTTCTACCTACCATTTATGCTTCTGATTCTCTGTACCTTTTCCCCCTCTCTCTCCCTCCCACTCCCCTGTTGATAACCCTCCATGTGATCTCCATTTCTGTGGTTCTGTTCCTGTTCTAGTTCATCCTGTTCTAGTTGTTCACTTAATTTGTTTTTTGGGTTTTTTTTTTTTAGTTTTAGTTGTTAATAGCTGTGAGTTTGTTGTCATTTTACTGTTCATAGTTTTGATCTTTTTCTTAGATAAGTCCCTTTAACATTTCATATAATAAGGGCTTGGTGATGATGAACTTGATCTTATCTGGGAAGCACTTTATCTGCCCTTCCATTCTAAATGATAGCTTTGCTGGATAGAGCAATCTTGGATGTAGGTCCTTGCCTTTTATGACTCCAAATACTTCTTTCTGGTCCCTTACTGCATGTAAGATTTCTTTTGAGAAATCAGCTGACAGTCTAATGGGAACTCCTTTGTAAGTAACCATCTCCTATTCTCTTGCTTCTTTTAAGATTCTCTCCTCATCTTTCATCTTGGCTAATGTAATGATGATGTGCCTTGATGTGTTCCTTCTTGGGTCCAATTTCTTTGGGACTCTTTGAGTTTCCTGGACTTTTTGAAAGTCTATTTTTTTTTGCCAGATTGGGGAAGTTCTTCATTATTTGTTCAAATAAGTTTTCAATTTCTTGGTTTTCCTCTTCTCCCAGCACACCTATGATTCAAATGTTGGAACATTTCAAGATGTCCCAGAGATTCCTAAGCCTCTCCTCATTTTTTTGAATTCTTGTTTTTTTTTTAATTCTTCTTTTTTCATACTGTTTTGGTTGAATGTTTCTTTCTTCCTTCTGCCCCAAACTGTTGATTTGAGTCTTGGTTTTCTTCCCATCACTATTGGTTCCCTGTAGATTTTTCTGTATTTCACATCATGAGACCTTCATTGCTGTTTGGATCTTTTTTATGCTCTTGAAGTACCCAGTGACTTCTTGGAGCATCCTGATAACCAGTGTTTTGAACTGTGTGTCTGATAGGTTGGCTATTTCTTTGTTGCTTAGTTGTATTTTTTCTGGAGCTTTGAACTATTCTTTCATTTAGGCCATCTTTTTTTTGTCTTGGCACATCTGTTACGTAGTAAGAGGAGGAGCCTTAAGTGTTCACCAGGGCCAGGCAATCCACTCCCCTTCATTTTGGTGCTGTATGAGGGGTAGGAGTCCAAGAGGGAACAGTGCTGCTTGTTCCACTCTCAGCCGGCTTTCAGTCACTTCCCCCTCTATCCACAATCAAATTGGGCCCTTCTGGTTCTGATTCCTGGGTGGGTAGGTTTGTTTACATTCTAGGACCCCATGGGTCTCTCCAATGAACACTCCTGTGAGGCTGGAAGTTTCTGCCACTGCCATCTGAACCCCCACCATTGTCTCCAATCAGAGGCTTTGAGGCTTTATTTCCCCGCACTGGATCCCTGGATTGCCAGTCCGTCTCATTCCCGGTTGTTCTTCCTGGTTTATCTGCACTCAGATGTGGGACTGCCAGTCTGGAAGCCACTGCCTTACCTGGTCCACCAGCTGCCACCTTGCCATGAGTCCTGTCCACCCCACCTCCCATCTCTGCCCCTCCAGCTGGTCTGGATGAATGTTTCTTCTTTAACTCCTTGGTTGTCAGACTTCCATACAGTTTGATTTTCTGTCAGCTCTGGTTATTTTTTGTTTTTAAATTTGTTGTTGTCCTTGTTTTGGTTGTGTGAGGAGGCACAGTGTGCCTACCTACACCCCCATCTTGGCTGGAAGTCTAAAACTGAACTTTTAAATATTAAGTAGTTTCATTTTAAATATTTACACTGGAAATATTAAAATGAGCTTTGAAATATTTGTGATCTCTCCACACCACCATCTTGCTATTTCACTCAAGGCCCTCATCTTCTACTCTGAAATAATGCTAACTGATTATGAATACCATGATTAAATAGAATTTCTAAGACCATTGGTATATGAATGCTTCAATAACATAATTATTGAAAGTTCCTTATGCTTTTGGGCCAAAGAAATTCTTTTCTGACTAATGACTGTCATAGGAATAAGAATAATACATTAAATTCTATGTAGGAAATATTAAGGAAATTGTCTTTGGTGAGTGGTCTTTGAAACTGAACAGTCACTAAGTGCTTTCTTTTTCCCATGAACAAAATTGAATCCTAAAGTAATTGTATTTTTCCCATGAGGTAAAATTGATTTTTTTTTAAGTATTTTATTTCTTTTTTTTTTAAGGTAGATTTTTTTTTAAGATTTTATTTATTTATTTTTAGGGAGGGAGGGGGGGAAGAGAGAGAGAGAGAGAGAGAGAGAGAAACATCAATGTGCGGTTGCTGGGGGTTATGGCCTGCAACCCAGGAATGTACCCTGGCTGGGAATCAAACCTGGGACACTTTGGTTCCCAGCCCGCGCTCAATCCACTGAGCTACGCCAGCCAGGGCTGTAAAATTGATTTTTGATTGTAGTATGAAGTGATTTTAAATGAAGAAACTTCATTTTTAAATGTAATAATGATAGATTTCATCATTACTGAGTTCTCCCTCCTAAATATAGTAAGAAAAATGATTTAATTTTGAAAAACCATTATTTTATAGTTTTGCCAAGTTAGAGTGAAAAGGGGGAAATGTGTTTGTAAGAGTGTTAGTTACGAGATTAAGGAGGATGTTACTTAAAGCCACATTCCTTAAAAGTGGTCATGTAACTATTCACATGTAGTACCCTAGAGAGTGGGATAGTAAGAAGGCCATGTTGTACTCTATTGACAAATACGATAAAATACGAAAGCAAAAATTGTAGAACCATTTGTCTGTCAGATTGTCTACAGTGCTTTTAAGCTTTCTATATTAGTGACATTTGGTAAGTGACACATGCTGAGTCTTGTTCATTGGAAACTGAACTTTTACATGTTCACATGCATGAGCATTTCAAAAAGGTAACCATTGCTTATATTTACATGGCTTTTACAGGGAGCATTTTATCCATGTCATAGGGGTGTGAAGCTTTAAGATAAATTTCTGAAAATTAGTTTAAAATAATTGCTAGAAAAACTAGTTGAAGATTTAAAAACTGTGTGCTTAATACAAAATATTTAGTATTAAGAATCTTTATTAATATTAGTATTTTAATATTTAGATGCTGATAATAATACTAATATTAATAATACTAATATTCGTGAATTTTTGTGAATTTTAAAAGCTTTTATCAATTGCCTAGAAGAGTTTTTACTTGATAATGAGATTGGACTGATTTTTTAATTTGTTAATATTAAATTATACTACTATTTGGTTATAATTTAGGTCTTCGTTCATTATTTTCTCATTCATGACATGTTTCCTTGGTGGCTGGAAAATTGATATGCATCATAAAATGCAGTATTATTCTTAGAGCAAGACTGGTTATGGTATATAGCAGTCTCTAGGTATGTGTAATTATGCACAAATAACATTCTGAATGGGGCAGAGAAACTAATTTTTTATTGTATTAGTATTCTCTCATTTCTCTAAAACGTCTGGAGCTAGATCTGAGATGTTTCATAAAGAAAGTTTTTTTTTTTTTTAAATGTCTGTACTACCCAAAGGGGGGGGGGGGGGAGAAAGTATTAATGCAGTGCCTACTAGTTTTGTAAACTGCTAAGTTGAAGGACTGAGGTGTCAAACTGTATAGGCTCTGCAAAATAAACTTCTTTCTGTAACAATCTGGGGAGAAATAAAGAATCACTGTACTTCTGGTTTATCCTGTGTGTGGTACTCACACTGTAGAGGGGACATGGCGCAAGGCTTCAAGGCTCTTTACAGACTCACGAAAAGCAGTTATAGTTCTCACCTTACCTTTTCTGCAACACACTGATATATAATTAAATTGTTTTCATATAATTTCCTTAACAAAGATCACCCTGCTGTCATATTTCAGTCCTCATAATAACAGATTATTTTCCCTGATATTTTGTCACAACTCAAGGCTAGATTTCTTTTTCAAAAGTGTTGTTATGGGCCTTCAAATTATATTCTGTATAAAGAGCAAGCTGTCTCATAATTGAATATACTGAACATTTTTAGATCAAGATCCTATCTTCCATGCTTAATAGGGTGGAGTTCTGACGTCTCAACAAAATATTTTCAGACACTTAAGCCAAACCAAAACCTCCAGTGAGGATGGTCTGGCAGCTCCCTGGAGCACTCCTGCTGTTGTAGACCAGTCTATGATTTTGTAGATCAACAAGGGCCCTCTCTGTGGAAGAGCACCCTTTAGATTTTCATTTTTACAACACATTATCTGGTATCTGAATTTCTGAGATTACTTGTATTTTTAGTTAGCAAACCAATGTATCTGCATACCAGGTATTCATCAAAAACTATCTAAAGTTGATTTCTGTAAGAATATTGTGCTTCCGTCAAAAGCCTGGTGTAGAAAATTCATATTTAAGAGATCATTTTTTTCCTGTGATCATCTTTTCCTGTTTTCATATTAAACTTATCTCTTATTACAACAACTCATCTTCTATAATTGAGGTTTTAATATCATTATCTCAGCTTGGCCATATTCCATGCCTATGATCCTTTATTATCTTGCTAGGCCAGTAATATATCTGTTTTTTTTCTTTTAATAGTCTCAGGTGTGTTATGGGGATATGAATCTCAAGCAATGAAAACATTTTAGGATAGGATTAGTTTAGTTTTGTATTAACTAGAAATCCCTTTATGTGAATTTTCTCTATCAAAAAAATCTTCTACAA